ATCTTATCCCTTACTATACCTGACTTGTTCATACAAGAGAAAACAACATTTCTCTTGTAAGGCTAAGCAGATGCCTCCTTGATCTGCTGTGAGGAGATCAAGTCCCCTTCTGTTTTGAAGGACTACTTCAGCTAATGAATCAATTTGGTCTTGGATGTCTTGAAGGGTACCAGAGATGGCTTGCATGTCATCAATTAATCTGTTGGAAAGCTTGGCATAGGTATCAGCAGCCATAGCTAGGCCGGCTGTGCCGGTACCCACTCCGGCGGATATGCCAAGACCTATTAGCAGGGGGATGAACTGTAGTGCCCTCTTGGGGTGGTTTATAAAGTAATCTAGCATGGGAACAGGTACGGGTTGATCGCCAGGCACTATTTCTATATCAGGCAGCACTGTAGCCATGGTGCATACTCCTGTCCAATTTTGGGGCAGGAAGACATGAGCCTTGTTGTTGCTACAAACAAAAACATGTCCCAGGGGAGGACAAAGCAGTGAATCTTGGTTGTTGCTTTGATTGAATACAGTCTCACACGTGGCAAAAGATATTCCCCCTAGATCAAGTTCATAACTATTGTTTTGGGCGGGTCCAACCCAACAAGCAGTCACATTGAACCCTACGGGCTGTACTTTAAAAGGGAGGCTCATGAGGGTGCAGCTTTGGTTTTGCTCAAGCTGAGAGGCATTGGGGGAAGGTAAAGCCAGCGGTATGGGTGTCCGAAAAGGCATGCATAACCAACAGTCTTTAGCTAGCTCTGGGTTACTAACATTTAAGGCCTGGTGAGCAGCTATCAGTGTAGTGAGTCCACGCAGTTTTTCCTGCTATCTTGATGGCAGTGGGGGTACTGAGCACCATGGTGAAAGGTCCTTCCCAACGGGGTTCAAGGCAATCACGGTGGTGACATTGAACCAAGACTGGAGTCCTTGGGGCCTTGAGAGGCGTCTCGGAAGGCAGGTCCAGGTATTTTTGTCTAAACAGCTAGTGGATCCAGGCCAACACAAGTTGGAGTGTCTTCAGGGACTTAAGATCTTCATTAGTAATTTTAGCTAATTTGTCTTCTGACAATCTTGGAACCAATGTCAGGGGCTCCCAACATGGCTTCAATGTGGGAAATTCCAGAAACATACGGGGTACATCTAGCTCTTAACAGTGTAAAGGGAAGAAGGCTCACCCAATTATTGCCAGTTTTTGAAGACAGCTTAGCTAAAATGTCCTTGAGTCTTTGGTTCATACGTTCTACTTGCCCTATGCTTTGTGGCTGATAGGCACAGTGGAGTTTTAATTAATCTTAAATGCCTGGGCTAACTTTTGGGTGACTTGGGCTATGAAAGCCAGGCCATTGTTGGACCCCATTGATAGTGGGAGGCCAAATTAAGGTATGATCTCATGTAATAGCTTTTTAACTACCACTAAGGCTGACTCAGACCTAGTAGGGAAAGTCTCTACCCAGCCAGTGAAGGTGTCTACTAATACCAAGAAATACCAAGTTTCACCATGCCATGAAGTCTACTTCCCAATGTTCTCCTGGAACAATTCTTTGATGTCAGGTGGTCTCCAGTGCAGAGCTCTTGGCTGAGTTGACTAACAAGCACTGTGGGCATCTGGAGCTCAAAGAGGTGGTCAGTTTGCAGTTTTGGAATAAAAAACCGAGTTCTGAAGAATTCCACAAGTTTAGTTTTTTTCTAAAAGAGTAGTCTGGCAGGACCAGTGTAACAGCTCCTGCCCTAGTGCCTCCAGTAACAGTACTTGTTTATCAGGTAACTGGTACCAGCCCCCTGGGGTGGGGACTTTACTTCAAGTTGAGATGCTAACTGTAGGTCTTTCTTTGTGTAGATTGGTTCTGACAAGGTCGGAGGGACTAGCATCAGAGCAGTTACTTCCTTGGTTGGCCCCTCTGATGTGGTTGCTATTTTTTTGAGTGGCTTGATCTGCCAAACTGTTTCCTAAGGTGACAGTGTCACCTCCTGTCTGGTGAGCCTTGTAATGAATAATAGCAACTCATTGAGGCAGCCAGACATCTGCCCACAAGTCTAGAATCTGTGGAGCATTTTTAATGTTAGTCCCAACTGAGGTTAAGAGACCTCACTCTTGATATATGGCTCCGCGTACATGTACAGTAGCAAAAGCATATCTACTGTCAGTAAAAATGTTTACCCTCTTTCCCATGGCTAGTTTTAGCCTCTCAGTCAAAGCAGCAAGCTCCGCTTTTTTGGGCAGAGGTGCCAGTCTCTATCTGCTTAACCCAGAGTACCTTCTTTTTGGTGGTCACTGCTGCCCCGGCCACTCGTTTGCTGTTCTGGATGAAGCTGCTTCCATCAATGAAATTGTTGTTGGCATTTCCCAAAAGCTGGTCGGTAAGATCAGCCCGTAGGTTCTGCTGCAGTTCAAGGATGTCAGCACAGTCATAGAGAGGTGTCCTTTGTTCCTCCAGGTCATCATCAGGCATAAGGGTGGCTGGGTTTAACGCTGAAGAAGTCTTGTATATCACTGACTCTGGATCTAGAAGCAGGGCTTGACAGTGTATAATTCTGGCATTCAAGAGCCTTTTTTTCAGGAGGGGTTTTGATAAGAGTCTCTAAACTGTGAGAGGTTACCACAGAAATCACTTGCCCAAAGTGAGTTTCTTTGCCTCCTTAAGTAACATTGTTACAGCAACTAGTATTCTTAGGCAGGGGGGCCATACTCCTGTCACTGTATCAAGTATTTTGGAGAGGTATGCTATAGGCCTCTTCCAAGGGCCAATGTCCTGAGTTAGGACTCCTTTGGCAATGCCCCTGAGTTTATCTATGAATAAGGTAAATGGCTTGGTAACATCAGGGAGTCCTAGGGCTGGGGCCTCTGTCAAGGCCTGTTCACATTCATCAGTCCAGTTAAGTGAGTTTTGAGTTTCTCCCTTATGGGAGTCATATAGAGGCAAGCTTTTCAGTAAAATTTAGCCTACAGTATCCAACCGCCCCAGAAACTCTCGTCTGTTTTTTTTTTTTGTTTGTTTGTTTTTTTTTTTAATTTTCTCTCATAGAGATAACACCTTGGTTATCTTTTTGTTGGTAGCTGCTTGTAAATTTTCTAGTTCTCAAAGACCTTTTGTGCTATCTGTATTAACTGGCTGAGGGGCATTCTCTCAAATCTCTCAAACCTTTGCAATTTTTGAATAACATGCGGGGCTGACTGAGTTGCAAAGAGAACAACTGGCAATACTGGGAAACCTCCTTACCTCTGGATGTCCAATCGGGGTGGGACAAAAGGAGAACATAGTTTTGGCATTCCAGATCAGAGAGCCAGCTTCATCTGGATGGCACACCACTTTTTGTCCAAGGGTGTCACATGGCAGGCCATCATTTTACTGAAATTATATTCTTAACAAAAAAGGGCTTTTTCATAGGTAACAAAATTGTGCTGCCTAATCTCCCAGATGTTTACAGCACATGCAAGAACTTGTATGTTATCTCTAGTATCACTTATAATCTCATTTTAATGGAAACATTTTGCAGCAAAGTACAATCTTATGAATACTTTTGCCAAAACTGATCTAATACTGTCAAATTCTGAACACATTTACTTCTTGTCAAACCTGTTATTTGCAGTACTATAAATCAAGACAAATAAAATTCACATCCTCTTGAGCCTTGTGCAACTTACAATATACCTCCCAAGTTAAGATTTTATCTTTTTTCACATTCTGGCACAGCCAGACATCTTTATTTGAAGATTACTCTCTTTGTCCCTCTTTTTACTATTACCAGTCAATTACCTTTTCTCTCACTTCTCAGACAACACCAAAACTCTTAACAAAACCCTTGAAGTCACCTTTTAGTAGTCTAAAACATACTTATTTTATGTCCTTTTACCACATAAAAATGCTGTATTTTAAAAACAAAACTGTAACCCTTTAACTGGCTCAAATATAGTACGACCTGGTTTTTACTTGGTAAAGTTGATATGATTCTTAATAACCATAAATATACATATATATGTGCACATGTTTATATTTTAACCAGAGAGAAAAATACTCCTTTTAAAAGGTATACCGAGGTTGCAAGCAATCAATTGAAGACTTACATTTTAAACAAGGTGCCACAACATTAAAGACACAAACAAAGGGTGCTTCTTGCACAGTTTGGTGAGCTAAAGGAAATAATTTTTCTTATTATGAACCTTGAATCTAATAAGCCATATGGATCCTGCAACAGAAATGGGCAACCAGCCCCTAAGTTAGTAACAAGTTTAAACAGGCAACCCAGGAGGAATATGGCCAATACTGTAGGGAGGGCATTTCTCCCTCAGCTGTACCATCACTAATCATGGGTCCACAGGGCTGAAGCAGGAGAGTCACGGCAGGGCTGCCCTCATGATGGAGTAGACTCACCCAGGCTACCAGGGGAAGCGGAGGGCTTGCAGTTGACGGGGTTGATCCTGCGGAGAGGGAGCCACCTTTTGGCATCTGTGGGGTGGAGGGAGGGTAAGAAGGAGGGGACAGGGAGGTGCAGGGTCGGTCTCAAGGAGAAGAAGATCAGATTGGGAGTCGGGTAGGACTGGCGGAGCTGAAGGTGCCTTTGCAGGCAGGAGTTTAGAGGCGTTTGGCTCACTGGGGGGGGGGGGAGGGTTTTACCCAGGATGGCGGGTCTTCATGTAGGTCCTGCCAAACCAGGATGTGGGGTATCTGATCTGGGTGGCCTTGTCTACCAGGGCAGAAAATTACACCCTTTCCGGCCAGGATCAGGGGAAGGTGGAAAGTCCCTTCAGGAGGCCATCCGACTGAAAAGGTGGGCCACTCTGAAAAACAGAAGGTCTGCCATTTGCCCTTCTTAACCTGGAGAGAAAGATTGTGAGCTTGCTCCCGAGCCTCGGGCCAGTGGTCCAAGGTAAGGGAGAGAGGGGTAGAGGTTGTTTGTCCCATATTATCCTGGAAGAAAACAGAGTCACGAGGAACAGGAGACACGTAGACAAACACAAGGGGTTCACACTCAGGAACATCACTCATGAGCCGGCGTCACATACTCACCTACACCACTAGGTGGCGGAAACAGATCGGCGAAGAAGCCCCGCAAAGTAGCCGTGAAACGACTACACAGGGTGGTAGGAGCAACCTACCCAGCTCAGCAGGAGGGACCTGCCTACTCAAATTGGTGCAGAACCACAGTCAAATATTCCACGAGGGAGCCTTGGGGCATCCCCCAATAGAAACAAATGGCCCTTGAATTCGGGACCAAAGAAACGACAAGAACAGTCCAGGGCAGTAAAAAAGGAAGAGAAAATGAACAATCGTTTGCAAAATGAAAGTAAACAAGAATTGGCTGTTACCCCAGAGAGGTGCTTAGCTGGAGTGCTTAGTTGGGGCCTCCTTCCACAAGGAGGTCTATCTTGCTGGGGCCTCCAAATGTAAGACCGGTGTCACGAAGAAGACCCCAACGACTCAGCTCTCATGTAAGAACAAAGGGGTTTTATTTTCCATGTGCATGGGGTCCTCCAAACAGGTGGGAATGGAGAACCCTGTACTTGAGCAGGGCTGTGTCTTTTAAAGCCTAAAACTGCAAAGCAAGCAAGCCTTGTTACAGAAGCCAATCATAGTGATTAGAGCTTGGCTGATTGTGAGCTGTCCTTAAGGGATTGGGTTTCTTTGTGGGGCAAGGGGGGTGTCTTCCGAGAAGGGGTGGCACTTCTTAGGAATGGGCATTTGTCCCATGACTGAGAAAACAGCCTGTTTATCTCAAATGGCCCGGAAACATTGGGTCCTGTGGGGGTGGAGCTGCACATAGTTTCGAAACTCGCACCACAATGCCCCCTATTCGGTTAAGGAGTTTCTTCGTCCCTTCAATATTTAAGCACCACCTTCCTGCCAGGAACTGTGCTGGTTATTGAAACTTAGCAGAGACAAGTCTCCTAGAACTTACTACAAATTTAGCTTTGCAAAAGTTAAAGAACACTGTGTTTTGCTTCTGTAGAAAGAATGTGAAGGATTCTGAATGACCTGTTTTTACTGTTTTTCACTTTTCCTGTGTCTGAAGAAGGTCAGAAATGATCTCACCTCTTTATTCATTACTAGTTACCTGATGAAAATTAAAGGGTTTTGAAACATTATACTATGGAACGGTTCATGGATCTCTGAAAAGCATATCACAGAACTTAAAACTCTTGTGAAAAGTTGTCTGCACTATCCTCTTCTGTAATGCTTGTTCAGTCCATGGCTGCTCTGACCTAAACATCTCATGCTCTACACTTACAGCATTGTACTTGCATTTCTTTATGATTGAATGAATGTTTCAGGATAATTCTACATTTTGTGTGTTTAGTTTAAGTCCAGGAGGTTGCTATAAGTCCGTTTTACAAATTAAAAGATTTGATATGTATTTATATACATCATCATCACTCTGATGTACTTTCTCTCTCCTTCCCCATTTATAGGTATCAGGCAAAAGAAAAGAACACTCTGTAGTATCTTTAACAGGTACTTTGTGTGCATTATTTAATTTTCATCTAATTAAACCTATGATCTCCATAAATATTCTTTAGTCATAGGATATCCTTCTAAAATCTCATCCAGCACTGCTCATCAATCTGGAATTAGCAAGATTGTCTGATTTTCCTGATGGCTCAAATTCTGGCATGCTAAATCAAGCAATTCAAGAGAAAAAAGTTACCTTTGGGATTCTGTGCTTTTTTTTTTCCTTCAGAGATGTAACACAGAGTATTATTCCAATGGATATTCAAGAGTTACTGTGCATATTCACCAGTTGATATAAATATGGGTGGGTGCACATATATTGCTGTGATATGATGTTTTTAACTCTCCTGGGAAGATAGAAGAGAAATAGGTGGATCAAATGGGACCTCTATTTTTAGATTTTGAGGAATCTCCATGTGGTTGCAGTGGTCTACACTCCCAACAACCGTGTAGAAGGTTCCTGGTTCCCCCAGAACCCCACAAGCATTTGTTATTGGTTGATTCTTCATAGTCATTCTTTCTGGGGTGAGATGGATTCTCATTTTTTTAAATTGGCATCTCTCAATTGACTAGTGATAGTGAATGATTTTTCATGTATTTAGTTGTCAACTGTATTTATCTGGGGAATATGCATTCATTTCAGATGCCCATCTTTTGATTGAGTCTTTGAATTTGGGGGTGTCTGATTTTTTTTGATTCCTTATATGTTCTACATACAAGTCTTTTTTTTTTTTTTTTTTTTTTTTGGTTGTTTTTTTCCTTTTTATTGGTACCGGGGATCAAAGTCACAACTGCCTGCTTGCAAGACAGGCGCTTATGCCGCTGAGCTAAATCCTCAGCCCCCTGTAGGTCACCTTTTCACTGTGATTTTTTTTCTTGTGCAAAGGCTTTTTAATAAGGTGAGACTTCCTTTTGTTGATTCTTTATAATATTTCCCTTGCAGTCAGTGTTTTATTCAAAGTCTCTGCTTACATCTATATCTTTGAGATTTCTACGTATTTTCTCTTGCAAAAAATTTAGTTTCTACTTTAGAATGTAGATCTTTGATCCATTGTGACTTTTGTTTAGTGTATGGTGGTAGATACATGGTCAAGTTTTAGCCCATGTGGAAAACCTGCTTTTCCATCATCATTTATGAAAGAAATAATTGGCTGGGGATTTAACTTAGTGGCTAGGTGCCCACCTGGCATGCGAAGGTTATGAGTTTGATCCCCGGTATCAAATAAATAAATAAATAAATAAATAAATAAATAAACAAACACATAAATTTTCTTTCTTCTAGTGAATATATTTGACTCCTTTGTCAAAGATAAGGTAGCTGAATGTGTTTGGGGTTTTGTCTGAATCTTCTAGTCTGTTCCACTCATTCTCAGTCCTGTTTTTTTTTTTTTTTCCAATAACATGCTAATTTTATCACAGTAGCTTTGTAGTATAATTTTATATCTGTTATTCTGATGCCCTTTGACTTGCCTTTGTTGCCTAGAATTGCTTTTGTTACTTTAGGTCTCTTCTGGTTCCAAATGAATTTTAGGAATATTTCTAGTTCTGTGAGGTATGTTAATGGTATTTTTGGGTTTGAATTAAATCAGTATGTTTTGGGAGTATGGCCATTTTCACTAGGTTGTTTTTTTTTTTTTTTCTATCCAATAGCAAGAGATAGCTTTCCATTTCTTTTATCCTCATTTTTCTTATATATACACTATAAAAAATTAAAGAAGCCAAATGCAAAAGGCTACATATGATTTATCTTAAGTGACAGTTTATAAAAGGGAAGATAGAGGGGAAAAGGACAGCTCAGTGGTTGCCTTGGCATGGCAGGGGCAATCACATAAAGATGCAACAGGGATAATATTTTTGGGTGCTGAAACTTGTTACCTATGCTGAATGGACTTTGGTGATGGCTAAACACTATGCACTTGTTAACACTCACACAATTAAACACCTAAATTTTACTGTATGTAAATTTAAAATTAACTAATACCAAATATACTAATAAACAAAGCCATACACCACTAGGAAATTATAAAGTCAGGAAATAAACTCAGGAAGATCTGTCTCCATGGCCCATATTCATTCCTTTGCAAATATAGTCCTGTCAGATTTTTATTGCCTTACCAAGAATTAGTGTCAAGTGAGATATTATTAGATGCTTCCTCTGGGTATATTATTATGTACAAACACAAAATATTTTACCATATATATATATATATATATATGTATATATATATATATAAAATCTGATAGATCATGTCTCGTTTAAAAAAAAAAGCTGAATCGCTATTCCCACTGTATAAACCCAATTTAAGGAACATCTGGGGTGCTACTTATTTTCAACAGGAAATTGAATAAATTAATGCTTTGAATATTTAAAATTGTTTTTAGAATCAGAACTTTTTCATCATTTAAAAATATTAATCAAATCTAGTTTAGTTTCCCCATCTGTTCCCCAGATTGGAGTCTCTTTAACACAGCAATTATAGCTCTCATTCTGCAATGTTTTTTCTCTCTAAGAATACAGGTTGATAGATACTGCATCTCTTTTTCTAGTCAATTAATCAATAAGCATACATAGGCAGTAAAGTAACAGTGATGGGAAGTCCTGCGAATCCTGACAAAGTTAATGGTCCTTCTCACCAAAGGGTGGTTAACCAGGAAATTATTCCTTCCATAATTGATAACTATTATTATAATTCCTTCGAGATTTGCTAAAATTAACAGGTTGAAATTTCCCCATTGTGTTGAACAGCAATTTAGAAACTTAAATGATAAAACAAAAACATGAGATCCAACTGTGGCAGTGTTTTCTATCATAAATTGTTTAGCAAATGAACATGCAGATTGTCCCAGGCTCACATTGCTTACTTGGATATTTAAAGCCACTTAAAAATTCAGTACTTACAAATTATCTATAAATACATTAAACTCTCAAACAACTTGCAATATTAATTGTTGACTGGGGATTTCATTGGGCAAACAAATTATTCAAACAGAATAACATGTGTCTTATTTGCTGTATTTCCGTAGGAGGTAAAACAACAAATTCCAAAACTGAAGTCACCAAATTTATTTATCTTCTGGAAAAAGAACTTTTTAAAAACAAGTTCTGTTTCACAGTGAACCTAAATGAACTCTAAAAATAAAGTGCTTTGAAATGTGTTCTTTTAAAGAAAATTCCCTCCTCACTAGAATTTGAATACTTTGATAAAAGGGGTCTTTTTCTCAGTGATTTATGTTGGATGCCAGAATATTTGAGCATCAACAAACTGAAATTAAAAAGTGCTGTCATCTGTTGGAAATCTGCTTTGAAAATATCATGGGTTTGAAATCAAGTCATTTTTTCATCCTTTCTAGAGAGACTGATTGAACACACTCTGCACATAGGTCACTTTCCACCAAGCCAAGCTTCAGTGCATCAACATGCAATGTAAGTTATCAAGAGACACAACTTCTGCAGAGCGTCTCCACATCTCTGGACCTCAGGTTGTTAATGTCCAGTCCAAGACTAGAGTCCACTTTCATAACAATTGTCCAGTGCTTTTACCACAGTGCCTTTTGCTGTCACAAATTTCATTTCAACAAATAGAAACTTCCACTGGCATTTGCTGATAACTTTCTAATAACTGCATTTCTCAGTGGACTTAAATATCGAAGCAAACTTTGCTACTCTGAACCAGAATACAGGGCTATTATTTCACAGAGTAAGGGATCGAAGATTTAAAAGAAATGAGTATAAAATATACGGAAAAGGGCACCAACACACTATTTAACAATTTACATACTGTTGTGTTGCAAACATGATATGTCATTTGAATCACTTCGTTTTGGATTTTAATTCAAACTGAAATATTTCAGGTCTGTAATTTGGGGCTGGTTGCTTAACACATATTGAGTGTTGTTCTTTCACTTGTAAAACAGGATTAAAATAACAGTAAAGTTACCTTTATGACCTCTCTCTTTATTATTAATGCTGCTGGTGTAACTAAGCCTCAGCAACATTCTCAAGATTGTGTAGCTTTAAAGTAACAGAGATAAAATTGGAACCTCAGCACTCAGAGGATGCATCTTGTGCTGTTAAAACAATGCACTGCTCCACATGGTAGAAGAA